TGATTCAGACTAGTTCCACAGCAAAACGCTTTCCACTTTGAAATGATGTAAAAGGTGCCACACCACAATCCAAGACTTAAACTTCAACCTCACGAGAATTCAGACTCCCAACCCCAAGATTATTTCCCTGGAGCCAGCACCCTCTGACGCACTGAAAATCAGAAGGAACCCAGGGAAGAAAAAGGAAATAAAGCAGTAGCTAAAAATGGTGTATGAGTAATTGTCATTTCAGAAAACCACATCTGCTCTCCCAGTGAACACTGGAAAGAAACCCTTAGCTCTCCATAGGAAATGTCCCCTGCTTAAATGACGCTATGGGGTATTTCACAGAAGTGCAGACCAACCACCACTGCTCTCAGAGTGCACGGTGTTGTCCAGCTCTACTCGCATCTGCCCCCTCCCATAAAAATAAACAGTGGAAACAACGACATCTCAATCACCCCCGTTTTCTCTGACAACGGAACAGTAATTTTACCTGAATCATTTGATGCAGGGACTTCGCAAAATTCTTTCTGAGTTCTTGTCTAATATCCAACAGATCAATTTCACTCCTTGAAACCATGACTCTGATCAGGGTATCATCGTCGGTGCCAGCCCCCTAAAGAGAAAGGTTTAGATAGTATTAAAATATGAGCTTGTTCCGGACAGATGCTGTAACAAAACAACAAATACAAACATCCAGGGTGCAACATGAAAGCACCAAGTGCAACAAGTGGGGTCTCAAAACACTCCTGCATTACATTTCTACTCCAAAACAGAGACTACTTGGGACAGTATCACAAGACATTCACGCTGCAGTGTGGAGAACAGAGGGCTGACCATGCAAGGTGCTCTAATCCCTGGACTACTCTGAAGTGCCATACGGTCAGACCTCTTATTTCATCTCACAGGCTTCAACTGTGAAAGCCCATATAAATTTCAAATAATCCAGTTCCAAGATTACCCAGTAGCATAGTTGATCACCGGTCAGAACCACACGCAAATCACCCTTTCAATGTAGCCCAAGACTGCAGAAGCGCAGTCGGTTCTGGAACTGGGCACACAAATCCTCATGAGGACTAGTACAAAGCATGTGACATCGTAGAGCAAGACACAGGCAGCGCAACTCACTCCACAAATTATCCAGCTGTTTACTGCAAAGGCAAACTTCATAAACCTTCTCCAACCACGCAAACACGCTCCGCTCTTTTCTTCATCTTTATTCCTTTGAGCCTTTTAAGTCCCTGCGCTGGCAGGCTGTGGCAGACGAACACCCTGACCCCTCCTGCTCAGACAAGTCAGACTCCACACAAGCTGAAGCGATGTAAACTTTCACATGCTGACCTGCTAATGCACCTCAAGGAAGGACTTGGCAGAGCCCCCACGATCATCTTCAGCCTAATGTCCAGGGTCATTCAATCCTTTGACCGGGTGGAATATTCTTGGATTACATCTAAGAATGCCCTAAAGCTGCTCAGAAGTTATTCCATGAGTCCAGTGGTTTCTGAGTAAGATTCGACATTAGAATCCAGTAAAAGCCAGGCTCTGCCCCATCTAACCATGAAAGCAAACTGTTCATTGTAGAACTCTGTCATGCCAAACTGACAAATTAGAAGTACAAACTCCCCTGCCAAAGTAATCCTTGATGAAGATCTTTATCCAAAATGCTGAATGACTTTTATTTATATTTTAAGAAATAACTGGGGACCTCACCAGCAGACATTAATCAGGCCCCTCATAACATACGTGTACAGGATTCTAGAACCTACAAGAAAAGCTTTTTCTATTGCACTCTTTAAAAAATAAGAATTAATAAACAGATAAATAAGAAAAAAGTAATCCTCCTCATACAGCTCAGCATGCTGGTATATTATTTTGTATTTTCCACCTGAACCTTATTTTACCTTGGTATCTATAAAAGCAGTAAAGCAGCTTTTAAAAACTAAGCTATCATTTCAGCTCTTTTCACTAATCCTCATGCTGACGCCTCATCAACACAACCATCTGGTGTCAAACAAACTTTAGTGCTTTTCAGCAAGGGGAAGGGAGGAATTCTTCAGGGAAGCTGATAATTTGCCTGAAAACAATAGACTACCTACTTTGGGTTTAATTAATATAAGCCACTGTGAGTTAAAAATAGGTTTCCCTGCTTAACTCTTCCCACCCAAGAGAAGGCGAAACCAACAGAAACACAGCTGTGTCCCTGATGGGATTCCCCTGCAGAATCTTTTGTAGCTGTTTAAGCCTCTTTCCTTTTTCTCTGACAAGTTTCTTTTCCTGCTCAAAATGGGATGGATAGTCATCAAAATGTGTTCGAAAGCCAACTACACACCTTCAGTCTGTAAATACTCATCTCCAAACCAAAGAGCACTAAATCGGTACGCTCGACAATTTAGTTTTTGATCATCTTTACTTCCTCAATATATCCACCACCTAAAGACACTGTAGTTTATTTAGCGGAAGATGCCCAGTGGATCTAGCCAGACATCTTCCAACGCAGCAAGACCATGTCCAAAAACAGCTGATGAGACTGCTGCTTCCTGTAAAAGATTTATGGCCTGACAAACTCACAATGAACTCGAAGTAAAGGTTATGAATCGTTTGGATCCTCTCCCAGATCTGCGTTCCCCAAACGTTTCGCGTTCCCCAAACCTTTCGCCGATGCTTAGCGATACAGCAGCCTGTTGGCATTTACAGCGAAAGAAGAAATGAAGAACATGCGAAAGGGAGAGGAACTGTGGCTGGGCGAGACAGAAAGCGACGTACGGGAAACGTGTAAGTACCTTCATGGAATAATAGAGAGTCTCAGCAAAATAGGCAGGCACGCTTCGGATGCATTTCACTGAAAAAAGCCAAAGGATTAAATTATTGATTCTTATTCGATACAGGACAATCTTTCACTGTCAAGACAAGGTGTGTGTTACTGGATCACTCTCTCCAGTGTGGACAATTAAGTATACGGCTGCCAGCCAGTCTGTTCCTCTGCTACAACTCCTTGGGTTAGAATGCACCATGTATTTCTAACTGAAAAGAGACTTTGCTAGTCAAAGTCTCCTCCCAGTTACAAATCTACTAGGACATTGTCCTAAATGAGATGCCAGGAATATAACCAAAAGCAGAGTTTTGTCTCACTTTGACAGAAGTGCACATGACTGAACAGAATGCAGTTCACCACAACCCCCCGTGGCCCACTTTCCCGTTGCCTCCCCCATCCATTAAAGGAAGAAACAAGGCCTGTTCTCTAGATACGAAAATAACCATGTGTTCATGCCACTTCCTATAACAACTGCAATTTAAGGAGGCCTAGGAGGAAATGAAGGCAGCCAGTTCTAGATCTATTAAGACTTAATTACCAACTGCCAAAAGCAGCTTCTCCAAATCACCAGAGGTTTCACGGTCAATGGTCTCCTCAATTTGAAAGCCGGAAATAGTCATGTATTTGTCAAACACTGCAAAACAGAAAGCGTGCTTAGTCACGTGTACAGCCAGCCTTTCTCCCAGTACCCTCCTCAGGACAGGTCAATGCCATCTGTATGCCATTACCCACCCTTCTGCGACTCTGTGAACACATCCAGTGAAAGGGTGCAGGAAGGGAAAGGGAAAGCAGGGAAGTTTTAGGAAGCGATAAGCATTTTTCCCCAGGGTGCAGCTATCATTTAGCCCAAATCGAAGGTCTTGTCTACACTGGGCTACGGCACCAAATTAACTTCAAGCAAACAACCTGACCTATTGGCAGTCTATTCAAGTCTGTGTTCATGAATACCCGTAAGACCTGAGTTTTCTATGAATTCTTGCATTTCTGTCATGCTAAGTAAATGCTGGGTGCACCAAAACGAACTCTAGGATTACTTTAATGCAACTAATTGTAAAAAACTAAACAGTAAAAATCACAAATCAAGTTACCTTTGAAAATCCAAATTAATCCAAAGATTCAAAAAGGAAAACAATAAGACCGGAGAACCAAAGCAAAACTTACTTCCAATGACCTAAGCAGCCTGGTAAAACAGACTTATGGACATGTAAGGAGCAGGGGAAAAAATTATTGTCTTTTTATCAACAGCTAATAAAGTATGCACCTATCAAAGGGTTGATCTTTTCAGGGCTGGATCTCCATCAGATTATGCTGGCTTATAACAGACTCTCAGCATCACTTCTGCCATGACCTCTTTCAAGAGGGGAAAAAAAAAATGCTTATTGCATTCAGAAAGAAACACGCCAGCTGGTCCTCGGATCTATTGCACCACTCCTTCAAGCAGGAGATCACCACTGCTAGGGGGAAACTGGATTACAGGAAACAAAAGTCAACGTATTAAGTAGAGGAAAGAGGTGATTAAAGATTTCTGGGCTTGACAAATGCGGTACCAGAAACAGCTTTTCTACCACCAGCTGGGTAACACTGAGACTTCAGGCAGACATTGTCAAGCACACATGAACCACACTACCTACCCCTCCTCAAATGGGAAACGCTTCGGGTTCCCAGGATGGTGATGAACTTTTCTTCATCTGTTCCCCATTTCAGCTCCCCAGCTCGAAACAAAACCTGTTGTAAATTTCAGAGATCAAAACAGCAGCATTTGTTATGTGTCCACACACCCTGTTGAAAAGCTCACTCTAAGGAGCATTAAACTTACTAACAAGCTATAGCTGGAGGGGAAAAAAAAAAAAAAACAAAACCAAAAAAACAACAAACCACACAAATAAAATTGCCAAGTACTGAAAACTGACCTTAGAAAGAAATAAACCATAAATTCTGAAATTGACTGTGAAAGCATTTAAATGAGTAATACTGCTTAAGGCCTAAAACTGACTGTGCTCATAGTCCCTTTCATAAGCCTTTAGTTTTCCGAAACTGTGATAATACAGGAGATAAAACCCATTCCCGATAGTGCTGCTTCTGCTGTTTTTTCCTCCCCTTCCTCTTTTTCAAATCAGACTAGCAAAACTTTATTACATGATGACTCATATCAATGGCAGAACCACGATAACTTGGCCCAGGAGGAAGTTTTCCAAAAGGGAGGGGAAGATGGATTTAGAGGCTCTCGGAGACACGATCTGCAGGCTGCTAAATTCTTAGTCATATGAAACCAGATTTTAATCATTTTAGCACATTCATTGCTCTTCAGGAAAGTCTTTCTTTAATACAGACAACGACCAGGCCATTAGCAGCATTTAGGAAAGTAAAGCATTTCTAAAAGTTGGAAAAAGCAGCAGAAAGGGGAAAACTTGAAAGAAAAAAAAAATTCAGAAAATGAAATTAGTTCTTCTTCCTGACACTCAGAAGCTTTTTTCTAAATCATGTGCTAAACACCATGAAAGTAGAAAGGTTTGTACATATCGTAGTATATAGTATTTTTTTCTCCCTCCTCAGTGAGCAGAGGACAGGCAAACAGGTTACCTCATATACAGGCAATCAAGTATTTCTTGGAAAAATCCCCACAAACAAATCTGCTGCATAGCAACGCTGCTGGCCATCTGTCTGTCCACATTGTAAAACCTGAATGGGACGTTATGAGTTCCCTGTTTATGTTTGTCCCACAATTCTATTCAAAACACCTTTGTGACCACTGCATGCTCTTTTTAATATTAATGGTAGAGAGTACAAAAGTTGGAGTAAAAAAAAAAAAGCTATTAAGATATTGCAAGGATATTTAGTTCAAATAAAAGATGTTCAAGCTCTTAAAACGACTACCAGCACTCTCCACCCAGCAGCAAACGCGAAGTCCCAGCACAGCATTTAGAAACGCCAGGAATGTGGTTTTTAGAGACACTAGAAGTTGTGAATGGCACTTCATGTGAGCGCTAAGTTTTCACCTGCCTTGCCGCTGTGCAATACCCATAAATGTACATCAATGGCCTAACTTTAAAAAGGTGATGTTCACAAAATCTCTTCCAAAAAGTTACTCTCTCCTCCTTCAGGCATTCTCAGAAAACTCTTGCAAATTCCCTGCAGATTCATGCTCGCTCGTAGCATGAATGCTCACTCCCCAACTGCTTTGAATGAACGCTTAGTAATCATAGACCCCAAAAAATTAAAAATCACCACTGAGCAAAAACGTTGCCCTCTAATGTACCAAATCCTTCCCAGAATATTGCATCGATCAAGAGAAACATTGGGAAGCCAAAAATAGCCTCACATTTGCACAGCCATGTACCTCCGTTCTGACCATCTGTACCTGGCAATAACAGGAAATTCTCTGAATCTGTTCCAGCTACCTTAGATGTTGGATGTAAAGATATCAATGAAGAGAAATGTTACGGAACGCTTCTCTGTTTGGGTCCCAGCTCAAGCCAAATGTACACAACAAACCACTTAACAAACCACAGAGACCATTTAGAAACCCAGGACTTTTTCTGCATTTAAGTACGGTGCCTCCTAAATTTAGATGCTCATTTAAACTCAATTAAAGCGGCCAAAAGGAACTTATCTACCTTCCAAGGCCTATGGTTCACGGGTTTTCTCGATTACGTAAGTCCAGCTAAAGGCAGGACTGACACAATTTCACAAAACGGTCCAGTTCATGATTCAAACATTTGCCTCGCTCATTTTCAAGCTCCGGTTTCCACAGGATTAATTTTAATAGCAGGAGAACAATGCTTTCTGAATTTCCATCACAAGGGATAGGCCTGTGCCTGTAAAACACATTTTGCCAGTCTGTCTCTGCATCTTGCCCTGCTATCAGGAGAATGTTTCATTGATCTGGTACTCTGCTTTTCCTCCCTGACACCTTGAACAATCCATATATTTTCTTGCAGCTCAACTGACAACTTATGAGTGGAATATGTCTAGTCCAGAGTTATCTGAAATAACTGAGAAGAAACATGTATTAACTAAATTCTGTAATGAAATATTGACCATCACTACAGCTAACAACAAAGCCAACAGCATCCAGCAGCAGACTGCATTCAAGGACAGCAACTAACTGCTGCTATTCCTTCTCCTGTCTAGAGCAGAGGTTGAGCGACCAGTGACAATGCCATGGACAGTACTTGCTAAGGGCAATACGTGAGTCCCTAGAAACTCTTCAGAGGCAATTCTTAGGCTGTTATCTGGGTACAGTGAAGCAGAACACTCGGTATATTTTCTCTTTTTAGTACTTCACCCTCTATGGAGGCATCCCTCACCAAATAGCAATAACATTTCACTACAACATGTACGTGACACATGATATGCAAGGACTGAATTCACAGAGAAGTCAGAGTCAGATATTAAGGAGTGAACCGTTAACATCTCTTGAGTTTTACAGCAGTGGGTCTCAGCATCACAAAGCCTCAGCAACCATAACTCTCTCTTCCAGTGATCTAACCACTGTTCCATTCAGGCACCTCCTTAAGCAATAAGCAAAACAAGACAGGCTTTACGCCGAAACGTGAAAATATGAAAAATATTGATCCCAACGTTTCAGGTTTTGACACTTCTCTTGTCCAGAATGTATAAAAGCACAGGAAAATATATTAAGAAACACACAAAGAGAACCTTAACAGTTTCTCTCCCACATTTGAATTCTTGTAAGGTAACTTGTAAAAATGCCCCAAAACCCAAGTCATTCACCCACCTGAGCATCCTGCTCAACAAGGCCCTCATCAACTCTGCCATCAGGATCTCTATTCGCCTAAAGAGAATTTTTAAAAGTTGTTAAACTGAAGAATCAAAAGTTGAATCAAAAAACAACTTACCTGTTACATCGAGCCTATAAGAGTTACTGCAAGAAGTCAACCCCTAATGCATCTTCTCCAAAACCACCTCGCTTTTCCCTTCTGCTTCCATGTGTCTCTGAAATAAGTGTTCTCTTCTCCTCTTGCCTTCAAACCCCCATGTAGCAAGCATTCTGCTATACCCATGAGCATTCACAGGAGTTTTTCAATTCAGTGATGTGGAAATGACTCATAGCAGAGCTCAAGACTGACTCTGCAAGTCAGGGGAAATGACTCCGTTTCAGAACCAACTCTGCCTATCACCAGGTCCAGAATCCCAGTTTAGCAAGCAGAAAGTGACAACTGTACCTCTGACAAGAAAACAGAAATGAAACTCCTACACCTGTGCCTGTGCACAAAGAGATACTGACCTGCAGCAGGACCACCAGCAGTCTCTGAAAATAGCCTGATGTTTCTCCTGTGATCTTATCCTCCAAGTTGGCCTCATATTCTGCAGAAGAACAATATCCATTCACCACTTTACAGACTTCCTCGCTATTTTGAGCGGAAAGCCAGGAATAGTACAGGACTTGCAGCTTGTAGAATCATTTATCAAACAGCTTTAACAACTAGGACATATTCTACTTTCACTTATAACCTAACGTTATTGTAAAAGCATCTCACACCTAGTATCAGGAGCAGATTACTCAAAATACTTTGAAATACAAGGTGATATGCACAGATTCAGCTCTTTAAGGAACTAAAGAGCACACAGATCTAGTTATGCCAAACACAGCAGTCTCACAACTGTACAACTGTGAGCCCAGAACAGTCTAGTACTAATAAATTTTGCCCTTGAAGACTTAAGTTTCCCTTCAAACTTCATTGAGACATGAGAATTTCATGGGTGGCAGGAATCTGCGTAGAGGTAAAAGAAATGTGTTGAATTAAACACTGCCTTAAAAAAATCCAACCCCACAACCACAGGGTAAAAGCACATACTCCTGCAGACAACCAAAAAGGTGCACCTGCTTTAGCACAAATGCATTTGAACAGAACTCTTAGCAAAAGGCAAAAAAATCGCTTCTAATTTTTTGTAAGACACCAGTTTTCTAGTTTCCAATTACTAAAAATCCCATTTCAAAGGGATGAAGATAATGAGTGAAAGAAATGCATTTGAATGAATTCTAACTGTCAAGCACAAAACACCATAATCTGCAGTCCTAGCCCTGAAAACTATTTTAGTTTACAAACCAAACTCCAGTTTCTTTCAATATGAAGTTTCGCAACATAGCAGAACAAAATCCCGCTTATTGGACACATCCATCACTTCACAGACAGACCTTAATTGCAAGATAAGCTAAAATCATACAAAGAGAACTGAACGGAGACCCCAGAACTTTATTTTAGACAGAACTTTACCTTGCAGATAAACCTGTTTAATATTCTGCACTTCTGCGGGTGTTCTGGAGGCAAGAATTTCAGTCAACACTTTCTCATTGGTTCCCGCTCCCTGCAGGGTGCAAGTATAAATCAGTTGATGGAATAACAGAAGGAAAACAAAAATTCCCTTTGACAATCGAAAGCAAGCATCAGCTTATACCCTTGGACCAAATAAAGAAAAACTATTTTCTTCTTTCTGGTATATTGCAGAATTTCTTCCAGTTCCGGCTTGACGGCTCTCAAAACCAACCCAACACCTTTAAAGGCTCACTGCTGCAGGATTCAGATGAGCCCTTCCATGTTCAAGCACACCCAACTATGCCTCAGTTCTTCACTATTACAAGAAGGTAAGTGAATGAACAGAGTAACAGTTTCTGTCTTAGCTCTAGTTCATATACTCTTTTATCAGCGAGTACACAGAAAAACACGGAGCCACCCAGCAATGATCTTTACCCTTCTATGAATTGTGCTACATTAATCCCACTCTCTCTTCCACTGCAAACACACACATTTTACAATAGAATTGCTAAGCCAGATAGCTTGAGCTGCTGCACTCCAATTACAGCAGGCACAACAGGCACTCTTCACTTTTACAAGGATAAAATTTACAAAAGCCAAGCCAGTATCTTGTTTCCACAAGTCTGAGTTTGCTTTGCCTGTAAGAATAAGCCATTGCTCTTTACTCTTCCAAAGCAGTCATTTCACAAAAGCAACACTGAAATACAGGACTGTGTATTTTTTGCTTCAGTGTGTTATTTATGTTATTTCCTGTAAGGAAAATCCAAATCCTAACTGCGTACAAAGATATCCAAAACACAAATCTGACAGGTTACGTGTAATCATTTTCAAAATAGAGACTGTTTCAAGAACATGCCTAGTCAACAAGTGAGGCAGGCACAGTTATATTAGTTCTAATCTAAGTAGCAGCGGTGAAAATTGACAGGCCAATCTTCAGCACAGACTCCATGCTCTTAGCCAAGTTGTTATCTTGCGCTGAAGTCTCTGCTATGGCATCTTCTTTACTGCTGTTCTCCGCCTTAGCTGAACTGCAGCTAGTATCGACATCTTTTCCTGCGCAGACACATTCTCTGAAATACTATGATCTGGTGTTTAACATCATTTTTTGCAAGTGACAAGAACAAAACCACTCTTGTTTCACTATCTCTATTCTCCCTCCTACACGCATCTGTTCTGTCATTTCCCTGTCAGTCTTTGACTCCTAAGTCAATAAGAGGAGCTTGGGAACACATTTTTTCCTTTTACTCAACAAAGCCTTTATCAGTTTCTTTGTCGGATGCCATCTCCCCTTCCCCCACCGCATATAAAGACACTACAGAAACTTTCCAGGATTAAAGTTTCTGTTGTCTGAGATACTATTTGCTGGGTCATGGGTTCAGGAGCACTGGCTTGCACAGTTGACTAAAGCCTACATATTAACCAGTTGGTCATCAGGGACCTTGGGAGTTTACGTGTGTCGCCCAACCAAGCACCACCTGACACCAGTCAAGTTCAATGTCCTCTACTTTAATCAACAAGTTCTGTGAATAATCCAGTTCCTGAATTTCCCCAGGCTGACGATATCAGACAGGTGTGACAGAGGGGACAAAAAAAATCCATAGGACCACATGGAAGAAAACACTAAAATATCTACACATACAGATTGTAAATCGTTTGTTTCCTGGCCTTCCCAGAAAGGCTCTACATGCACTCAGCTAAAGAGAAATGTTAGAACGGTAACACTGACAGGGCCATCAACCCTTCCCCCTGTATTACTGGAGGCAGCTTTTAGAGCACATTCAATATCACAGACAACACCTGCTCGCAACTTTGGTGGACAGCAGTTTACACAAGTATGCTAAGCCCATCAGTTTTGGAGTTGCTGTAATCCAGCAGGGCAAAACACTCTCTAGCTTAAATAACAGTCAAGAGGAGACATACAAATAACATCACGCTTTAATGAAATGCCTTGAACTGATCTGCAGCCTACGCCTATAGCTGTGAAACCTAGGCTGCTGACAGCAGAAAAATCTAGTGTCCTCTGGATGTCAGCACCGCACTTTAGCAGCAAAAAGAATTTAAAAGCAATGTGCACATCTACTGATTGTACTTAAATCAGAAGGAACAAGCCTTATGCTATATAGATTTTAATGTGCATCTACAGCAAAACTGTTCTCTTAAGATTACATAGTTTCTCCTTAAAATTGTTTCACATAAAACATTATATAGACTAGATTTCTAAACTACCTCTAATGTGTTATTAGGATGAATCAGAAACCAGGCAAAACCATGGCATTAGCAATAACAGCAGGTGTTCGCATAACATTCCTAATTTTAAAAAAAGGGGAAAAAAAAGGAAAAAATTCCTCTTACCGATCAAAAGTTCATTCCTAAAAAACAACAAAAAAGCAACAAACATTTCATATAACATATTAATTCCCTCTCCTCGTTCCTCTTACCTTGATGGCATGCTTCAGTGCATGAGCATCAAAAATATATGTTGGTCTCATCAAAGATACCATCAGTGTTTCAAATTTGCCGGTAAGTTCCGATTTCAGGTCATCTACGAGATCCTAACACAGAACAAACAGTGCTGTAACGAACAAGGACCATTTGAAATGGATTCCTGTGTGTCTGCAAGCTAGAAGACTCTGGAGACACATCAAAAAGTGCAAGGGACAGGGCTCTTTCTGTTTTAATTGGTACATGCACTGAAACAAACGTAGCTAAACAAGACAGAAGAAAAGGATTTATGGGCATTTGGAAAACCTGAAACATACCGGGGTTGGTTTTTTTTTCATCATAAAAACTCTTTAAACCTTAGTTGTTCACTGCACTTGCTATTAGAAACAAAGGTTACACAGCTGGAATATTAAAGGATCCAACAATGCCACAAGAGAGTAACGAGCTGTCTCTGCTTTGAACTCACTTATGGCTTTATCTAACAATGTATTTGGTTTTGTTCTCTCCCACCCTATTAGGCTGCTTTATTTCTGTCATATTTTCTAGCTCTAGAAAATCCTTTCCCTGCTATCACTTTACATTGCAGACCTTGCATCAAAATATTTGATAGCTCCTTCCATACCAAGACCGAGGCCAGTACTAGAAGCATACTAACAGGAAACAATAGGAACTTTTGCCCCAAACCCCATCTAAGACATACTGGGCTGCAATACAGAAAAAGGAAGTAACTTCCTTGTGCTACCCAAAAGGAATCTTCCAACCTAGCCAGTAATTAAGGATACGGCAGGGTGGGGGAGACAGAAAATCTAGTGTTGCTTCTTCAAAGGAACCTTTTACAGGGAACATGATGAATGTGCCCCACAGTTTTAAGTAATCACCACATCCAGCTCATTTCTACAGAAACTTTCTTTTTCTCACCCTGCCAAATAAGCTTTTAAAGGCAGATGCAATTTCCTGACGCTGAGCATTGTTTCTGCTGGTAAGGATCTTCAGAATAGTTTCTTCATCAGTCCCTGAAGTTAGGAAAGAACAGAGAGTTACAAACACACTCTAAAAAACAAACAGCAGTGGCAATGAAAGATGCTTTGAAAGTAACAGTCTACTGACAAACAGCAGAAGCATTTAAGTAACAAATGTCACCCTACCCCAAGCTGAGCCACCAGGTTTGGCGTTCTGCTGTTGCAGATATATGACTGGAGGACCTAGGTGTTGTTTGTTCTCCATCAGCACTCTCTTCCAGACACTGCTCCCGGCACCCCAGGCATCAGCTATAACGCTTAGTCACAGTCTATATTCTCCATAGCAGCCTTGCCTTTGGGCTCACCAAGGGATTTACTCCAGAAGAAACAACCTGCCAGCTCCCAGCAAAACTCAGTCCAGTAACCCCCAAACAAACCCCAGACCACAGAAGTGCAGAGTCATTACCCATTTTATATACAATACTTTGCAAGGTAGCCCTCACAGCAAAGCATCTTACTAGCCCTACCGAATTTGCCAACAGGCTGAGGTGTATCCCATTTCCCTCCTTCCCTTCCATCTGCTTCCTTCCACAGGCGGCTTTAGAGAAAGCAGCAAATTAGGATTTGTTCTCACAGGGAAGTTTTGGGGCAGAGAGCTACAGCGTGAGTTTACAAACCACTTGTTAGCCTACATTCATGCTGTGTGCTTGTGTTCTTTGCTCAAGTAACTGTAATGTGCTTACGCACTTCCAGACTGAGGGGGCTGTTGCATAGTTTCCAAGTACAGAGCTTCTACTACACTGTCATAACTCTCCACAGTTGTCCAGTCCAGCTTACTGTGCAGTAAAACTCTGTGTGCAGAGAAACCCAGGGAGTACCAGGTTTTTTTATGGGGAATGTGCAAACCACCTTCTTTTCTCCCTTATGCTAACCTAAAATAAAAAAAAACAAAAAAAACCCAAAAACCATCCTCAGGAGCAGCGCAGTCACAACTAGGACACGCCCAGGCTCATGCAGTCCTGGGGTTGCCATTCCACAGCATGTAGAAGCATGCTCTACCCTCTACTGCTAATATGAAAAAAATGAGTCCAGAAGGATGTTTTCAAAGACACAAGAGCACTTTCCTTTTCATAAAATAAATTATTCTTACCCATTCCCTTCATGGCCTTACGAAGAGCTTCTGCATCAGCTTTGGCATCGAAAGGAGAGAAAGCTGTCACGGTGCCTCTCGTGTACTAGAGGGGCAAAAAAAGGGGCGGGAGGGAAGGGGAAAAGCCATGAAATAGAAGACAGCATCTTTTAGTTCTCCATACATGAGCTCAGACTAAATTTGAATCCACCCTCCAAAAGATGATAGCATTTTTCTTGCCATTACCTGACTAAATAGCAGTCTGTGGGTATTTAAACACAGCTCACTCAAAAGGTACTACAAGGGTTTTACTCAGCAGAACATTAGCTAAGTTCAGGTATATTTACATAAAGGTAGTTTGCAGGGCTGAGATTTACAACGCTGAGGCCTGAATACAGGAACACGACTAAGAAATTATCATTTGTTAAAGTAATTTGGGAAATTAATTGCACAAATCACATATGCTAGAAAAGCTGCACTGAGATCCAAGACACTTCTTCTCCTCAAGAAAAACCTACCGGAGCTCTCAACCAGTATCACACTGATTTTTTCCATCACATTGCAAATGAGGCCTACTGAACTCTGTAATGGCTTTCTATTTTTCATCATGTTTCTTTTGACATAAGCAACTTTTCACTCAAGTGATACAGCTGCATTTCTCATTGCAGTTTACAGCTGAAAAGGAAATAACAGTTCACACATAAGGATAAAAGATCAGCCCATCCAAACAAAAAACACTAGGTTTCCACGGAACATGGCTCTTCAGGGACTTCCCCTTTGGGTCAAACACAAAAGGATATTCATCATCCCTGCCGAAAACTTTTACCTTCATTTAAACATGACAGTTCAAGAACCTGTAGGTGCATAGCACAGTAGCTAATCTATAAAAGTCCAGCAACGGCCAAAAGGGGAAACAGCTCAGGTTTGGGAATAGGGAGGATTTTCTAACAGCTGACGAAGGGAAATTTCTTGTAAGCATCGCTGTACAAAAGCAGTAATCAGCACAGACAGGGCATTTTTCCTCTCTCAAGAAAGAGCATGAAAGGAAGTGCCAAGACACCTACAGAGACTGGCACCAGACTATTTCACAGGCAGCACGGCCATCTGGCCTCTGCGATACAGCCTCTCCCTCAAGCTAGCAATTCCAGCCACACAGTGCTTTGGTTTCAAGTCAATGTACTCATCCAAGGCAGGTCAGCCAGGAGAGCACAGAGAAAAAAGAGCAGGCGAGCAGGACCCAGAAACTGCCCTCAAGCATTGCTGCCTCTCAGGCCACCTGTGTGTTACTGCCAGCAGAGACTCCCCACCCCTCCCACTGCAGCAGCAGTAATGAGCTGCGCTTGCTTCTGCCGTATTTCAGCAGATGAGAACACAAACTATCACGGTGTTTAATAGCAACAACAAACTTCTTTCTGGTAGATACATTCCAGTATCCAGCGTACCTCAGACACGTGGCAATTCCCCTGAAGCATTCTGGTTTTCCCACTACAAGCAAGTTTTTAGGCAGTACTTCAGATTTAGGCACAGCAATATGTACTTACTGTCATCTTCCCAGCTAATTCTGAAGCCTATCATGAAAAAATCTCAAGGATTTGGGACTCAATTTTACAAATTGAGTTGAATTTGGTAAAACAGATAAAGACTGAAAAGCCTCTGTATTCCTCCTCGTCCCCTATTACCAGGCCAGTCAGCACGGGGTTATTTAAAAGTGTATTTCCTGCTGGTTTGTTTCATAAATCTTATCATAACTAACACTATAGAACTACAATAATTCTCCTTTGGAAATAACCAACGGTCAACAGGTCTCAGAGGAAATTGTTATGGATCTTTGCTTATCTTGTTATAAGCAAGTGGAATTCCCCTTCACAATTCCTAAGTCTTGTGACAACGGCCCAATATTCCCCTGTGGCTGTTTTGGACAACAAGTGCATGAACACTAAATGCTAGATTAAATCTATCTCTGCACCATCCTTCTCATTTTTGTTAACTAAGAAGAATCCTTCCATAACTCTCTTTTCCAAAGCACAGTGTGGAAAGCCTCAATGTACACGAAACTTGAAGAACAGTTCCCGAAATTCTTCTAGCACAAGTGTAGTCTGAAAAAGTTTTCCTGATGTCTGGGCACCATTTGCATTCCAGGCACTCCCTTCTGATGCACAGCGTTTACTGGATTTTGGTGACCTACCTGCCCCAACGACCCTCAATCAGCACTTGAGCTGCACCCAGCTTGCAAACCAGAGATATTGCTGCAGCTCTGCCATCCAGCACAATAAAATGCACTTCACCTGGGTACCACAAAGACGGCAGCTATAACGGCAGAACATCCAGCTGCAGCCACTGGTGCAAACAGAGCACAACCACAGCAAGGGCTGTTAGTACAAGACAAGCTCGGGTACAGTTTTGTGGGCCCAAGTGCAGCCTGCAGCCTAACTGCCTTCAGAAGCCCCATGCGGGCAGATGTGACACTGACAACAGTTGGCCCATCACTGGGAAAGGGTCAAGCCATCCCCAATTTTCAGGTCAGAAACCTACTCACCTAGCTTTTTAGAGCACTGAGTGCAGTGTGGCCTGGCACCCAGAGTATGGGGGGGAAGCACTCAGGCACACCATGTTTAACAACCACAAATCCATCTAAAACACCCCACACTCCAGAAGCACCCTCATTAGTTATTCCAGTCCCAACTTCTCATTTGCAAAATCAAAGGACAATGTTTCTACTGTGGTTAAACTCAAAAAAAAAAAAAAAAAAAAAAAAAGGGGAAAAGCTGTCTCCTCCTTCCCAACCGTGGCACCTTTTGGCCACAGAAAGAGAGAGCAAGCACCTGTTCTAAACTGCCATCACCACCTGAACCACTGAGTCAACCTTCAGTCACGGAGAATCTGAAATAGGAGCTATGAACCAGACATTTCTAACAAAATTATAGATCCATACAAAAGAGCTTCTGACAAAAGCCAGACCCTCATTTATCAGACAACTCAGCTACAGTTTCAACATTAAGTAGACTTTAAACTTTATTGAAACAAACTGGTTCTTGTAGATGGATCACAGCATCACAACTGCTACGCCATCCTGGTGTAATATGAAAAGCAGTGAACTGAAACCCAACTATTTAACATTTATTTACAAACTTCGTAACTTTTTATAGAGGTAAACAAATTATCTTTAGTATCTGTAAGAAGGGTTCCTTGCCATTTATGCAAACAGATACACAAAACCACTACAGCCTCATAGGTCGTTTTTATTTCAGTTAGTAAGTTTCCCACCCAGTAGAACCCAAAGCACATCAATGGAAAGAACACAAAAAGTCTGTGACATAGATCCTTTTGTAATCTGGAACAATCCCTTACTATATAGCAACACCTTACGCTGTGCAGTAAAATATAAAGGGAAGCACAACATGCAAGACCTCAATAGAGAGAATATCACAAGATTCTAACACCAAAAACCTACACAGATTCTTTTCTTCCTACATTCCCCAACACACTGACTGTTGTTAAACAATCATGTGTAGTGCAAGCGTAATTTGTGATTATACTCTAGAAATAGCAGCTTCCATTTTCTCCAGACACCTACCAATGAGACAAGGAAGCCCCTACATACACAAAATGACCATGAAGAAAAAAGGCAGAGAAAAACAAAAAAGGGGGGAAAAAAAAAAAACCACACAACCTCCAAAGCAAGAAACAATCTTGCTTTAGAATTTATGCCCCTCCAAAGGAGGAAATTCATGTTCTGTTATTTTTGTTTATTATATTGTTTTATATTGTATTACTGTTTGTGTATAGTTTGTTTATTCTGCTCTAGCAAAAGTTTGCAGGAGAAGAAGATACAATCTCATTAGGAGAGATGTTTCTAACCAGCACCTCATTAACTTCTCCCAAGAGACAACCTGGCTTCACAAGTTGATGCCATGAGGCCACATACCCTGGCAACAGCATCATCTGTAAGGTCAACAATAGCCACTCAACGAGACCCCATGTTTAGCCACTGTTAAATACAAAGCACTGATTATCAGCAAACAAAAGGCCATCCTTGAACTGATTCAGACTTCCTCCTGGCTACCCTTGCTCCGTGCCCACTCACAACAAGTTCTTACCGCTCGGATTTCCCGTAGATGAAGAGCTACCCCCTTTCACAATGCTGCTCTGCAGCAAGAAAAGAAGTGTCTCATCAGTTTGCCACTGGAAAGCCCAGCGTCTAGTGCAGAGAAGACAGTATGTGACTTTTTCTTTTTTTAAAGCAGCCATCTGTTTACAAGACGGCGCAGGAAAACAGTGGAGTGGTAAGAATGGAAACAGAGAATGTTTTCCAGCACCCAGGTTGACAAACAGAGAAGGTGCGCTATTTTCAGAAGACAGAAGAGAGCCCAGAAGGTCATGTGCTACAATAAATGAAAGACTGCCTTAAGATTGCTCACACAAGAATAGCCACCTTGCAGATAAAGCACAGTGCTCACTGGTAAATCGAAAGCCTTTGTGGCCGTTGAAGACCACACAGAGATTCCAGTTCAAACTGTGCTTTAAAACCAACATCACCTAAGAAACATATAAGTATTTAATGGCATCCTTACCAAAATTTCAAGGGCAGTAGGATGCAAAGTACATAGCAAGTGGACGAATATAGGTGCAGAGCTGTACAAAGACACCTCTACAAAACAGCTCTCTAAGCTTAGTAATGCTTCAGATCATCTACTTAAATAGAAGGAGTAAGCTCTGGTCAGCAGACTATTCACATCTGCCCCACTAGACTCCTGATAAAAAAAATGGAATTGCACAACATCTGTGTTGAACTGTGAGTCAGCACACCATGGAGATACCAAAGACAGGGAGGAGAGAAAGGAAAAAAGAAAGAGAGGGGGTGGGAGAGACGGAGAAGAGAAGAGCAAGCAACAGCGACTTAGGAACCAACACAGGGACATTTGCAAAAACACTCAAAGAACCTCACCAGTAACCTTAACAAAACCAAAGAGCTGCTTAGGACCCAATTCTGAAAAAGCGTTTGTACTTTGGAATGTGAGACATAATCCCCTGAAGCACCACAGGAGTTGGCAATACTATTCCTGGGCTCCAAGCCACATGTGCCACACTGGCCGAACAGGAACTCCA